GCTACAGATGGAGCACCAACAGATCCTAATGGAAATGTTGATATACAAAGTTTAGAAAGTTTAATGCGTAATGAACGTCAAGCAAATACAACATACGTTACATTTCTTGCTTGTACAGATGATGATTCAAGTGTAGCTTATTTATCACAATGGGATCGTAACATGCAGAATGTTGATGTTGTCGATGATTATAAAAGTGAACGAGAAGAAATACGTCGTAATCGTGGAGCAAATTATCCATTTTCATTTGGAGATTATGTCGCAAAAGCTTTACTTGGTTCTGTTGATACACAAATGGATCAACTTGATGAAGGAGCATATAATAATAACAACAACAATAATTTTCGACGATTTTAATAGAACAAAACACTTTTTATTCCACTGAAGCACGATAATCATTTTAAATAAAAATAAAACTTTTTCTCAAACATAAACTTTGATATATTTTTTTTCTTTAGAACTGTATATCAAGTATAAATGATGAAATAATTTGTTTCTTTTTAATCTAAAAAATGTAGTATCATCTGTTTATAGTCGTAATACCTATACGAAAGATATGTTAATTTATTATCAGTGTAAAAATATTCTTTCTGACATAGCAATTGAAATTTGTTTTTGTGTAGTTTCTAATAAAAATCTTATTGGTGTATAATAGATCGTCCATGTTATATTTTTTAATTTTACAAAGTAGGAAGTCTTGTAAGGTAAAAAAATATTTATTCAATAACATACAACTTCACGTTGTTGACTAATGCATCAATCTTAATGTAAATATATTTACCTTTCACAACTACATTATGAAAACGTGCAATAACATCATATCTTTCATTTTCTTGCGTCCGAGAATAAAAACACAAAACTCATTATTATGATGCATGCATCCAATTTGAAAATTAGTGGTATTAATTATCTTAATGGTTTACAACTAGATGATCTTTATCAATTACAAAATGAATTAGATATGTTATGGAAACAAGGACAATCGACAGTATCGAATAATTTATATGATAAAATAACAGATAGTATTAATTATGATTTAATACAATTAAAAACTGATCCATATAAATTTGCTGTAAGAAAAAGTGATATTGAATTAAAAAAATTAGTTGATTTTTTTACTCAAGCACATAGTCAAGGCAGAAATCTTATTGAAAATTCTGTATGGGATATTTTAAATCAAGAATTATCTATGCGAGGTAAAATTAATGTGAATTTAGTTGTATCATATCCATCGAATTGGATAGGAATATCGTTGAATGAATTACCAATTCAATTTATTTCATTATCTCGATTATCACAAGAATTTCAAGATATATTGAAATTTTTTTCTCAATCTTTAGGTAAATCATCAATTGTTATACATTCGATAATTCGTATTCAAAATCTTCGACTTTGGTCGATTTTTGAAGAATTAAAAAAACAATTACCAAATAATATTCAACGTCTTATTCATGGTACAGCTTCACCCATAACACAAAAATTAATTATGTATCATGGTTTTTATCATAGTTTTTGTCCTGGTGGTCTTATTGGTGATGGAGTTTATTTTGCAGTTAATGCATCTTATTCAGATAATCATCCGTATGTATTAAAAAAAACTAATCATCGAAGAGAATTATTTATTTGTCAAGTTTTACTTGGAAATTCAAGTCAAGGTCATACTGGATTAAAATCACCAGCATCAGGATGTCATTCTGTATTTAATCATAATAACGCGCAAAATAATATGTTTTGTATTTTTAATTCTTATCAAGCATATCCCGAATATATTGTTGAATATGATTATGAATAAAAAAATACGTTTTGTATATGTAATGAATAATCGAGAAAAAAATTTGTTGGATTTTTAATAAAGATCAACTATAACTGATAAAATAAAAGATTTTTATTGTCCTTAGAAATATCTTAACAGTTTGCTTTTGAAATACACAAAATGCGAGCATTTGTCTTTGACATAGATTAATATTCAAATTACATCGATGTTTTTTTCGATAGAACAACTCGTTAATCATTCATGGAAAGATGTTTCTTTTTTATTATAGAAATAAGACATTAATTTATGATCGATGTCTTTTTTATCTTATCTTAACTTATTTCTTATCACATAAGTTTTAAGATAAAAATATGCTCAAGTTACTATAACAAACAAATATCATAATCTTCGTAGATGTCTGTCGAAATAGTTGATAAAAATTGAAGTCTTTAATATTTTCTATGTATGATTAAATTTTGTCACTCATCTCCGATATTTTTCGCCAGTCCTTTAGTTATTTTAACTTTATTCAGTTATGTAAAAAAATATCATTAGGGAATGAATCATATTTATATGTGATCTAGTATAATACTTGGTATTTCATTTATTAAAGTGTTAAATATCACAAATCAATACGTGACTTACATATTTTCAAAGAATAATCAAGTCATATAATTATAATTTAGAAAGTAAATGAAATTTGAAAATTTGTATTCTTAGAAATAAATAATATAACTATTGAGTCTTTTTATTGACTGAATGTCTCAGCAAAGAAGGGAAAAGATGAGTATTAAAAATGATAGAATGTAGATGTGAATCTGAATGATGATTGATTGTCACATATAAATAAATATATGTACATCAACTACGTGCGTTACATAAAATATAAATACAGTTTTATAACTATTCAAAACATTTTTCTTTATGTTGCCAATATAAAAAATATACTTTTCGTTCTCTCTATCGAATTCGTTTTTTTATATATTCTTAATATCAATTCGAATCGCGTCATTTCTTCAATAAATTCTATCATATAAACATGTCTACTCTTACAACTCTTACTATTATTTGTATAGTTTTATTCAGTAAGTTAATATATTTGAGGAATATAAACAAATTATTAAGTCTATAGCTTGGAATCAAATGGTCGATGGTCTTGCATGTTATCAATGTAATAATTGTAATGATCCATTCATGTCAACCTATGTTGGAGTAACATATCAAAATGATACATTACCTTATTCTTGCGTAGTATGTTTAGATTTTTTACTTAACTTCTTTAGATTAATACTATTTGATATTTCTTAGAAAACAACTTCGGCATATGTTACTACTCGAAATATACTATTGAATTGTACATCATTTGGAACTACTGGAAATGGTCAATGGTGTTGTCAAAATAATCTTTGTAATAAAGCGCCGAAAAATATATTAACAAATGCTTTTAGTTTTAGCATCATTACTTCAATACTTATGATTTTCTTTTAGAATTTAGTTACAGATACTTTTTCTTGTGTATGCATAAATATTATTTTTAAACAATTTAAGAGATTTTCTTGCTTCATTTTTTTTTAATCATTCAATAAAAATTACGAATAAAATACTTAATTGATGGGTGGGTGTGAGATTTATTTTAGTTGAATAGTTGCGAAGAAATCATTCGTTACAAAAAAATGTCATTGTCGGAGATATAAATTTCTAGTTGTTTTTATTCCGATATAAAAATATTACTTACTGTCTCTTAATTGGATAAATACTTTCATTTATTCTTACATAGAGACATTGTCAAATCGATAGTTTCCAGGCATCTCATTCATATAAGTATACTATATTGCCTGATTCATTACCTGAACAAGAGTAGAATCAAATCCTGTTTTTTTGGGTCTCGTGTATGACTGTCTTTTATGAGACAATATTAAGATATAGAGAATTTGATGATGAAAAAATCTCAACATTTAAATATTTACTTATACAATATGTGATAGACATAAAATGTCGTCGTCATTATTTATTCGGAAACTATATGAATAAAATTCTTTCAAAAGAAAGAAAAAATAAATGTAGTTAATTATCATAGAAATAAATCTACTTAAAGACTCGTTTACTTTTAAATAACATACATAATAAATATAATTTTTAAAGTTAAATAAAACATCTATTTTATATTCTGAGTACATATATATATACTTAAATGAAAGGAATGAAGAAACAAGTGCATAGATAACGATAACATATTTGCATAAAAAAATAATTCTCTTCAAAATATCAAAACTCTATTTATTAAAATAATATATTTAACTACATAAAAACTATTCATTTTATTATCACTATCTACTTATAATTTAACGAGAATATTTGGTATTAAACCACCTTCATAATCTTTATATGGATATAATACTTCATCACCTTTTTTCTTCCATATCCATGTTGTTGGATCAATAATTGTTACTTCTTTTCCTCCTAATTTATTTACCCAAATATGTCGTGTTGCTTGACTAGTTACTTGAACAAGAATATATTGAAAACCTTTTTCTTTCGATGCATAGTCACAAATTCTTCTACACATTTGAGTAATTATACCTTTGCCTGCATATCGCGAATGAACTGCACATAAAGTTACATGTAAAACCATATTTGGTTTTAATTCTTGTCCAAAATCTTGTTTTATAAATAATTCATCCATTTCATCAAGTAAACCATCGATAGCAATTGTATGTGAAGTATCTGATAAATGTTTTTTTTCATGTTGTAAATATAAATCACCGGCAAAAGTAGTTGCAATAATTTCATTTGTAGAACGATCTCGAACAAGAAGAGAAAGATGTTCGTCTAATACATTTTTTAATAATGGCCAAGAACATTCATTGAAAAAACATGTTGATGTTATACGATCAAAATATGTAATAGGATTATGTGCAGAAAATTCTTCAGCAATAAGTTGAGCACAATAACGTGCATCGTCTTCATTTTTAATGATCTCATATATATATTCATCGTTAGACATAATAATGAATCTCAATAAGAAAAGAAAATAGAAGTAGAAAGCAAAAAAGTAACTGCCAATGTTCTTTGTCTTTCGATAAATACAAAGTCATTTTCTTTTTTTTCTTTCTTTCTTTCTTTCTTTCGGAAGGTCACATGGTAACTCGTTGTTTTTGCCGTAACACCTGTCATTTATTATAACTTTCTATTCGTATCTTAAGTACGAATAAAAAAAATGTGTATATGTGGAAAGTAATCAAATATTTAATCGCTAGAATGAATGGATTGTTTTTTAGTGTCAACAAACAAAAGAATAATCAGATAATTGGAATAAAATTAAAAAAAAAATTCTATTTAATTAATAATACTTTATATATAACTTATTAGATTTTCTCGTCATAATAAAATTTATAATTAATTATAATATTATCAGATGACAATGAAGAGTATCGAGTTCTTAGAAAATGTCTGTTTTTCTTTCGTAAAAGAGAAAAAAAGTATCATTCCTTTCTATTTCATTTCACTGTATGTCATATAGGCATTTAAATAGAAAAAAGATTTTTCACTTTTTTTTCAACATCATCTGCAATGAGTTTGGATTATACATGAGAAAATGATCGATAGGTAAATCATAGTTCCCATTGGACTTTTATAGTATTAGTTGATTAGATTATGTGAAAGTTATTCTAAATAGAATTTATTAAAACTGTCATAGTGGAAAACTAAAACATCACGAAGACTTCTACAAGATAGATTGTGTTTTTGTGTTATATTATCCATCGAATTACCTATGTAGAAAGATGAATCACAGTAACTCAATACGGCTGTATTACAAGATTATACGATAGAGTGAGTTTTAAAGAGCAAAGTCTGCTCGACAAAACTCTACATATATGTTATTTTCAACGAGACGTAAAAAACGCATTTAAAACTCGAGATACCATGAAGGACCATATTTATCATAGAAAAAGTTTGATCAACTGTAGAACATAATTTAAATCTCGCCCACCGTCTCTGAATAGAGATCTCAACAAAAATATTGTTTTGATTTCAAGTTCTTCTTCAGGTAATACAAACAGCATGCGTCTCTTGTTTAGAACTTTATTAGTTATTGAAAGTATTATTTAGTCTTCTTTGTTTCTACTTGACTTTTACTTGAGCTAAACAGTGGGCGGTAATGTTACTATTACTAATTTCGTTTCTTATTTTTATTTTCTCCTTCTTATCAAAGAAAGAAATATTGAATGCTTCTCTTATCCAGCAAAACAGGTCACTTTCATATATCTCACCATACCAGACACGTATTAGAGAGAGAAGAAGCACAAGAAAATGTAAATATACTGATGAAGAAAGATAGACACAAGGTCAAATAATACATATTCAAGGGACGAAGAAGAAACATAATAACAAACAGCGGGGGATTATGGTTAGAAGTCATAATAATGACTAATCTATCCACACAATGGCTAGTTATTCGATGAATCGAGCTCATTATGAATTCTCCATAATAGTTTCTTTTGGTTCAAAGCTAAAATTAAAACAATATTTTTGTTAAAGCCCCTATTCAGAGACTGTAGGCGAGATTCAAATTATGTTCTATACTTGATCAAACTCTTTCTCTCATTCAAGTAGATATTTCTTGAAATTTCCAGTCTAAACAAATTTAATTTCGAAGCTACAGAGGCGAATGGCCTTCACCTTTCCATAGAGCAAATTCGATACTGCAAAACTCACTCTATCGTACAATAGAATCATTTCGAGTTACACCTACTCATCTTTTTACATAAAACTTTTCTTTTACAAAATCAACTAAAATTCTAAAATAAAAAAATATATTAATTATATATTTGTGCTCGATTAATATAAGTTTATTTTTGTATTCAAAAGAAATGAATAAAAATCTTTTTTTTTTTTATAATTTCGGAGCATATTTTCTGTAGTAGAGCTGAATCAATGTTATTATAGGACAGAATAACTCATTTATTATTTCATTCTTTTTTTTTAAACCAAAGATTGTCAAAAAATTTCATTCGACTAACAAACAAAAAATAACTCATTTATCTACTGTGTCTTTCATATTTGTTACACAGCTGTTGATTTTTACTGGAGTAAGAGCAATCTAATGTCCTTGAAGAATAATTAGTAAGTCTATATGCATTCTTTTCTTTGTATCGAACAAAATTTTTATATCAATATAATAAACTATATAGCAGTTTTATAGCTTTAATTATCGATTATAAAAATAAAAGAAAAAAAAGATATAATGATACATTAACTTCTTGTTCTTCTGTCAGTCTTCGTTCTATTTATATACGACAAGCATTGATCATTACTCATACATTTTATAAGCTACGTAAAGGACATAGGTATATATAAACCTCATAAAATATCGTTGATTCATTTCGGCTTTTTCTTTTTACTTTGTGTTTATAAAAGAAAAGCGAAACACTATTTTTATCCTACATCTTCTATTGATATTCATCGAGATTTTTTCCTTCTTCGTCTGAATTTAATTGAAATATTTGCATTTTATTTTGTCGACATGTGTATTCTTTCTTTTTTTTGTTACATTCGTTTTTGAATAAAAAAAAAAGAAATCCCTTGAGCTATTTTGATAATGATTATCATCGTATAGTTTTACTTTTTGTTTTATATTTCTTCTTACGACAATTTTCAAATTAGTGATAACAATTTATTTTTATACCATCAACTCATTATTATGTTTATGTTTATTTACAATTTTATTAAACGTATATGTTTCGATATATATCTTATATTTACTCGACTTCCACCGACACAAGCATGGATGGATCCACGAGAACAAGCTTTAATGGTGAAATATATGCAGGAATATAAAAGAAAACGAAGGTAATGTAAAACATCGTAAGAATTATTCTTCGATAGTCATAGATTGCGTATTTGAATGCAAGAAAAAATTATTTTATACATAATTTTGAAGTGTTGATACTCGTGAAGTACATTATAATCTTAGATAGAAGATAAATAATACATTCTTGACAATAGTGACGGACTTAGGAGGGGGGGGGGGCAATCGGCCCCCCCTTCAGAAAATTTTTTCGATTTTTTACGGCAAAAATAGGTTCACACTACTTCGATCGAACTAAAAAAATAGTTTTTAGCCAAAATCGTTCCTCCCTCTCCAGGTATCGCCCCCCCCCCCCCTTCCAAAATCCTAGATCCGCCACTGCTTGACAATAAAATCAACACGAAGTATTAGAATAAATCTTATTGATCGATCTATATGAGTACCTTATAATTCAATTCTCTTAATACATATATTTACATAATGATTAGATAACTGATTTATTTCTATTTAGTAATCAAAAAATAACTATGGTTGAATATGGTGCTGGTAGTAGTACATTTTTCTTTAGTTCATATGTTGATCATTATATAAGTATTGAACATAGTCCTGATTATTGTCGTGAACTTGAACGTATGGCTGCTAGTCAACCACATCGATCAATAAAAATCTATTATATGGAACGTAATTCATCGGGATTTTCTATAAAACATTGTTTTGAACAAGATTCATCATTAAAATCAAATGTAACTTCACATATTGATATTTATTGTATACCAAGAAATGCGTATTCATTTCAAGCTTATCGTTTATGGGCGACTGGTAAACGAAGTACTTATACAATGTATCGTGATTATGTTGATTTTCTTTCGATATATTTTCGTGAGAAAAAATTTGATTTTATATTTCTTGATGGACGTGCACGCCCACAAGTTGCTTATGCTGTATTAAAACAATTAAATGGTTTAAATGCAAAAGTATTTATACATGATTGGAATCAACGTAAAGAATATCATATTATTGTAAAAGAATTTTATAATATAATTGATCAACAAATGGAAAGTAATCAAGTTGGAGGTGGAGGACTTGTTGTATTAGAAAAGAAATCTGAAGATATTGGAAAAGATAATATAAATGATATTCAATGGAAATATGAAAAAGAACCAAATTGGTGGATTTAATAGATATTATTCATGAATGAATTATAGTCAGAAAAACTGTATTAGAATAATTAAATAAATGTATTTATACGCAAAAAAAGAATTTGAGTCATTAGTCTATTAAGATAAATGTGAAATGTTGATATTTATTTTGTTACGAAAATGGTAATCCCATCAAATGTTAAAGAATTGTTCGCTTTTTTTTAAAAGTAACATGATTAGAAGAACATGTAATCTGCTAGTTACTCATACTCTTAAGGTTTTATTCTCTTTCTCGTAGCGAAGAATCCAGTAAGAGTAAATTGTTTGCTTGCTTGTGTGTCCGCACTTCATTGATTCGTCCAAAAATAATCTCAATGGGTACATATTATTTTCCATGACATTTCACTAAAGGTAATCGAGATCGATTTTTTGAATAAATAGTTTGCTTGTAGTTGAAGAGCACACCGTTTCTACGAGAAAGAGGTGAGCGAATCTTTAGACGAGCGTTACTTGTTATATATACCATAAGAAATTCTAATAGTGAAAATGTAGACTCCTACAGTAATCTGAGTATCTAATGAGACAATTCTTAGTAAGATCCTGCGATGCATTGGTAGACGAACATCTGAGAAGTATATGTGTATAATTAATATTATAGAAATAAAAACAAAAATATAATATTTAATGTACAGATTTATACTCTTTCAATTTTTTACTATTTACTGAATAAAAAAAGTTTTCTTTTTATTATAAAAAACAGTTTTTAACTGGTATATATAAACTGATAATATTAATCAAAGAAATTTGTTAGCAATAATTAACCCAATCCATTTTTGTTGGTGCTGTGATAGGTCGTTTAGGAATAATAATACGAACATCTTTGGCATTTTCAAGTTGATTGAAAGAAAGAGAATCTCGAAATGGTGTTACACATGATGAAAGTAATGGTGTTAAACATGATGAAGCTAAAGGTGTTGTATTTGTTTTTGTTGGAGTTACGTCAGTAGAAGCACATAAAGGAACACTTCTAATAGGTTGTCTTCGTGGAATCATTGCTGTTTGAGGTCGTTCAAATGGTTTCTCACGATGAACTTCATCATTTTCATTTGCTCTTTCAAGTATTTCTCGAAAACAAGCTGGATTATCTACTCCTATTCGTGCTGGCTTCCATTGACGTTCCATTTTAGTTTGATTTTTTTTATTTTGAGCCATCATTTTAACAACTAAATGACGACGTTGTGTTATTAATGCTATGGTACGTTTATGATTCATTTCTAGTAATTGACGTTCATTAGGTTTATTGTTTGAAGCACGTTGATCAACAATTTTAACATGACGTCCTGATTGTGACATACGTGGAAAACGTTCATGAAGACTTTGAGCAGCTCGATGTGCATATGATTCTGCTAATTTTTGTGCACGTAATGAACTACTAATAGGATCATTAGTACTATAAATACAATAAATATAGACTTGACAAGTATCAAACATTTTTCTCTTACTTTCGATTAGCAAGAAGACGACGAGAACAATCATCATAAAATGATTCGATTGCTGCATCTTCGTATGGAGCGAGTGTTGCTGATTTTGCATGTGCTGATGCTGAGCGTCCATTTCTATTAAAATCGGAATAGTTTAGTTTAACAATCAATTATTTTTTTTTGATTAAAATTCTATTTCCTAATGGAATGACTTTTAAAATAACTTTTTTTCTCTCCCTAGATGTAATTTTTTTGTTCAAAAAAACAACATCTCAGTCATCATAAAAATCAAGCAATCACATACGCTATTTTTGATACTGTCGGTGGATTTGATTGATTGATAAATAAGATTTTAATATCTTTTGTTGGATAATTTGAAAGAAATTTATTTTCAAAATCAGTAAATGTAAATCTTCGTATTCTTTTAACTTCTTCAGCTTTTTTAATACGATCATAATGATCTTGTATTTTTTTATAATAATTATTTGCAAATTTATCAAATGTATCTTCTTCTATAGCAGTGAGATAATCATTTTCAAATCTCGTTCGTTCATCAGTATTCTTTAAAATTTTTGCTGATAGAACAGCACGTTCTAATTGAGCAAATTTATATGAACGTGATGCAGTTTCTCTCTGTGCCGCTGATGTTGTCGTCATAGAATAACCTGAATATGGTCGATATGGTATAGATGTTTCATGTGAATATTTTTCGGAACCTTCAGTTTCTGCTGCATCATCATCTTTATCAGATGTTGAATAATGTTGAGCTTCTGTTAACATAGTTTTTGTCTTTAATAGATTATATAGAGAGATTTAAAAGTTCGATAATCGAAACTCACTTGATCGTTGTTATTTACTGCTTCTGTTGCTGCTGCTATATGTTGGTTACTACTTTTTTACTTAATATGTGTGAAAAATAACGATGGTATGTCATTAAACTCTTAAAATGAAAG